GATTTTGGTACCCGCAGTGCATCCTGGACCCAGTCTCTTTCAGATATCAAGGGACAAATGTGTTTCAAGAACTGTCTCACGTGACTGTGGAAGATGGCATGTCCAAATTCTGCAGGCAGGCCCAAGAGCCAGCAGCCCGGACACCCAGGAAAGACGTGGTCCCACAGTTTGAATTTGAATTCCCTCTTCTTCAGAGGAAGTCAGTCTTTTTAAATTAAGGACTTCAGCTGATTGGAGGAAGCTCACCTATACTGTGAAGGGTGATCTGCTTTATTCAAGGTCTGCTGATTGAAATATTAATCTCATCTAAGAATTATCTTCACAGCAACCTTTAGTTGGTGGAACATTACTGGGACTCCGGGGCTCAGCCAAGTTGAAAGATGATAATATTAACCATCACGGGCACCTTCTCCCTACCCCTGACCCAGTGGCTGGCTGCTCAGAGAGGCCTCATTTGCCCTGTGTCTCCCCAGCCACAATCCCAGTGAACACGGGGTGTGGGAGCTAGGAGGGGGACAATACAAGAACAATGTATTTGCTTGCATACCTTGATTTTAGGAATTTGTTTGAAATCATACGGTTCTTTCGTTTGCTTTCAAAGTTCTTTCTCTAAAAACCTCCACTGGAGAAGGGGGGGAAGGGCAACTCTTGGCACTGATGTCTGTGTTTACGACAGTGCGGGGTGCCCTGTTATGTTCTGTCAGTAAAGATGAAAGAAAGGAGTATGAAGCTTTTTGTAGATTCCCTTGTCTAATTAAAAATGCATAAACCAGGCATCTAAGGCACACTTTTCGCCTTTTTGAAGAATTTATGCTCTTACCAGAAATAAATTACCCAATCAAATGACAGGCATTGAAGTTATCAAAATCATAAAAGTCATTCTGGAGTGAGAGTGCGGTGGGTTTTGACCTTTGAAAAGTGTCCAGTTCCAAAGAACTGAGTAATTATTGAGAACCAGCATATTTTAATACTAAAAACCCTACTGATATGGGTTGGCATTGATATTAATTCCCCATGAGAGCACCTGCTGGAAGCAATGAGCAAAAGCGCTCAAAACTTAGAAATTAAAATTTTTAAAAAAACCAGAGGGTATAGGGATATAAGAAAAAAAAATCTAGAGATCAATAGTGAGAAAGTAAGGACAAAAATTTATTAGACAGCAGATGTAGATGCCCTTTCTCTGAGATATAATTTACTAGCCTGAGTTACATACATCTATCTGCTCGAACAGTCAGGCAATGTGGTTATGATAAAAGCTTAAACACTCAATCTTTTGTTTCAATAATGTCAGTTTTCAGGAGAACTTTATTTCAACATTAATGAAGTATCACACGAAGGGTTTACCTCTTCAACAGTTTGGATCAAATCTTTTATAACCCCTATTAAAGAATATGGTTAAATGTTTGTGATTCTTGAATAGATAGACGTTTGACACATAAAATGCATTGAGATTTTGAGCACAGTTAACAGATATATCTTTTCACATATTGCACCTAGCATGTTTTTTCCCCCATTATAACTTAAGAAAATAAGTATGTAGTTCTGATTCTTTTTTCTGGTTTGATTTAAAGAAGAGATGGACTGGGGAGTAGCTCAGTGGCATAGTGCTTGCCTAGCATATGCAAGACCTGGGTTCTATCCTCTGGATAGCAAAAAATAAAAATAAAATAATGAAAGAAACACTAGTTGTGCAAACAGACATTGGGAAAACAGGATTGCTTTATAAATGGTATATACCTACCTACAAGTTCTATTCCAGCCCAAACTGGTAAGTACAGGAAAAGTAACAGTAACATTATAATTTCTTTATTTTTTCCGAATAGCCATTTCTCCCTTAATAACAATGCACATTTTGTTTTATACATAGCCAAGTAAAGACAATATAAATTAATAAATTTTATCTACTTATTTTAAGACAAAGTTATATTGACAATGGTACCTTCACTCCACAGGTGTGGTGAAAGTTTCATAATTTTGTGAACATTTGCTATATTCTTGTTTCACTGCCATTATTTATTTAAAGATTGAATGCTGATTCCAATTCCAGTGATTTTGTAACCATGGAATTAAAGATTATAGAGGGAGTTCATATTTTCTCCCAAAGGAATATAGATTCCTAGAACAATCCAAGAGATCATCTAGTTGTCAACTTAGGCATGAAGACACAGAGGCTCAGAGACTGGAAGAGATTTGCAATCAAGCAGCTCAATGGTACCAGAGTGGATATTGTTTGAACCTGAGTCTCCTGACCCTGTTTAGTGTCACACTGTGGTGTGAAGATCCTGACTGAGCTTTTAATCATTTATTGTAGGTGACAGACCATCCTGGAAAAGAAGAATTTTGTTCTCCTCCCTACACTCACTACGAAGTCCCTCCGACTTTCTATCGGTCAGCCATGCTTCTGAAGCCCCAGTTGGGACTGGGTGCCATGTCCCGCCTACCCTCTGCAAAGAGCAGGATTCTGATAGCGAGTCAGAGGTCTTCAGCAAGTGCCATCCACCCACCGGGACCCATAACAACAGCTGCCAGTCTCTACAGTTCTGATCCTTCAGGTAACAGTCCAACAGTCGCTGCCTTTTCTTAAAAAATGCGGTAACCTTTGAAAATGGGAATGCCTCCCATCCCATAATCTTCAGCCATTTGTCAGGAGATGCAGACATTTGTTAAAACTCATCTGTCGGCAGCTGCTGTCCTCTCTGTCACCTTTACAATGCAAGCCCTTACCACCATCTCCTGGCTTCCTATAGTTTCTCCCTTCTCTAAAACACCCTGTCGACCAGGGTTCAGAGGCTGCTTCTGCCAAGGGCCAGGTGGTAAATATTTTACCTTTAGGGTCAAACCCCCATGTCATAACTACTTAGAGCTGCCATTATAGCCTGAAGGCAGTCCCAGGCCATATGTGAGTGAGCAGGTGCAGTGTCACTTACAAACAAGGTGTGGGCTGGAT